AGAAAGGGAGCTCATGTCAATAGATATAAACCATTCACCAAAATTTCTTGCAAATTGGTGGAAGCATTTTTGAGTTATTGTATGAAAACTGGAAAATCCCCCTTTTTTAATGAATAAAACCCAACAACTCGGAAACATAAAATCTAAAATTTATAAAAAACGAAAGGGAGCTCACGTCAATAGATATAAACAATTCACTTAAGTTTTATGCAAATTGGTTAAAGCGTTTTTGAGTTAATGTCCGACATGTTGACGACGGACGGACAGACGGACAACGGTATACCATAATACGTCCCATAAACGGGCATATAAAAAGGCACATCAAAATGGTGAATTGAGTGAACCTTGCCTTCAATTCCCTACCATGGACATATGTAGAAAATATTGATAAAAAAATTTACTCAGTCATGAAAAAACTGAATCCCCTATAGACCTCATATCTTCAAATTGTAATAGCTATTCCAGCTTTGTTATATAGTAATAATGCATATATAAGTACTTGGTAGGAATAAAACATGTAAGAAAGTATCTTAAAAAATATTTACTCAGCCATGGAAAATTTAACCTCCTACCATAGAAAACTGAACCCCCTCCCCCTAATAGACCTCATATTTTCAAATTGTCATAACTATTCCAGCTATGTTATGTTGTTATAATGCATTAATAAGTACTTGATAGGAATAAAACGTTAGGAAATATTTTTAAACATTTCTACTCAACCATGGAAAATTGAACCCCATAGCATGGAAAACTGAACCCCCTTCTATAGACCTCAGATTTTCATATTGTCATAGCTATTCTAGCTTTGTGGTATAGTAATAATGCATTCATAAGTGTTTGGTATGATAAACATCTTAGAAATGATGAATGAATAAAACAGGGGGTTTAATTTTCTGGGGGGGGGGGGTCATTTAAAGCTCATTTTCCATGACACCGTTAAGTTACAAAATTCACTGGTGCTTAAATAGTCTGATAAACTGATCAAAACAATCCAAACACATACAATTTGCCATGCTTTAACAATGGTGTTGTAGACTGTATTAAGAAGTTTTGTGGGAATGTCATTAGACAAATTTGGTTAACAGCATGTTTTGTACAGGGTCGAAATTTGACAATAAATCATGGTTAGAAATGAGACTGCACTAAACCAGCTGATCCAATCGTTACATTCCGACTCACTATCAATCGCTACATTAACCTAGAGAGGACACTGACCAATTAAGGCACTGAATCATTCAAGATGTAATACAACACAAACAATTTCCTGTATCAATGCCCCTTGACTGTTTGAAACTGTAAGTGGATCATTTTTTAGTGATTTATTACCACCACAGAGGTCGAACCCTGAACAGTTGGGGCAAATTTGGACAAAATATTCAAGCTTGATACTGTCTGAATTTGGATTGTGATTAAATTTTTGACATAATATAGGTTTCTAACACAAAATAAATGTGGTCAAAGATCTTAAATATTTGAAATGGGACATTTAATTTACTTAGTATGGTCTGATATCCAAAAACTAACAACATGGTTAGATTCAGCATATAAAAAAACATCAAAAATTTAATTTTAGTTGAAATTAAACAAAGTTTAATTTTAGACCCTTCAAACCTTAATATGGACTAATTTGAAAACAGGGCCCAAAATAAAAATTTCTAAATGCACAATAAGATTCAGCATATCATAGAGCAGCAATAATTTAATTTTTGATGAAATCAAACAAAGTTTAATTTTGGACCCTTTGGACCTCAATGTAGAACAATTTAAAAATGGGGCCCAATATCCAAAATAGTAATACAAGGTTAGAACCCCCAAAAATTAAAGACTTTAAATTAATCTCATTGAAATTGGTTAAAAGATTTGTATTTATTTTCAATAGAAGATTTCTTGCTATTGCGCAATACTGTGCTGTTGCACAATGCTTAGTTAATCTGTTATATATAATAATTTACACACCCTGTTTGGTGTGTATCTCCAGCCATATCAGTATTTGTTGCTTTTATATATAAATCTGAAATAATCAATGTAAAAATGGAAAATTTTTGGGGAAAAAAAACAAAAATTATGAAAAAAATAATCCCCCAAAATTTTTTTTTTGAAAAATCTTGAAGAAAAAAGTATGACCCCCCCCCCCCCCCCCAAAAAAAAAATTAAAAAAAAAATCCCCCCAAATTTTTTTTTAATTTCAATGATTATTTTCTTTTCAGGAAAAGTGTACAATTTCAGAGAGTTCAATATACTTTAACACAAGTTATTGTCTGGAAACTAGAAAAATGCTTGTTTTTGGCCCCTTTTTTGCTCCTAATTTCTAAACATTTGGGACAATTACCCCCAAACTTAATCCCAGCCTTCCCTTTGTGGTATGGAACCTTGCAGTACAATTTCAGAGAGATCCATACACTTAAACACAAATTATTGTCTGGAAACTACAAAAATGCTTCTTTTTGGCCCCTAATTCCTAACCTGTTGGTACCATAACCCCCAAAATCAGTCCCAACCTTCCTTTTGTGGTATTGAACCTTCTGGTAAAATTTCATAAGATTCCATTCACTTAAACTAAAGTTATTGTCCAGAAACCAAATGTGTCTTTGGATGCCGACAACGCCGACAACATGATAGCATTATACTAACTCAAATTTTTTGCAGTCATATAAAAATTAGTCCATTTAAATATTGTGTTTGAGGAATTTTCAATCAAATTATCTTAATATTTAATATAAATGGGGAATGTGTCCATGGGACACAGATGATGCCCCCGCTTGCATATCATATAAAGTTATAAAGGGACATAACTGAAGAACGGTAAAAATGACACTACCCAAATTTGTACTTGATCTGAGTTTTGTGGTAATAGGTATTGTGTATAAGTTTCATAGCATTTGGTAGAAGTAAAATTAAGTTTGAGAACGGAAACGAAAAATTCAGCATTTTTCCATTTGTAAAGGGGCATAACTCTAGAACAGTAAAAGTGACACAACCAAAATTCAAACTTGATCTGTGTTTTGTGGTAATAAGCATTGTGTACAAGTTTCATAACATTTGGTTGAGGCTAACTTAAGTTAGAGAACAGAAACGAAAGATTCAGCAATTTTTCAATTTGTAAACGGGCATAACTCTAGAACTGTTAAAGTGACACCACCAAAATTCAAACTTGATCTGTATTTTGTGGTAATAAGCATTGTGTATAAGTTTCATAACATTTGGTTGAGGCAAACTAAAGTTAGAGAACGGAAACAAACTTTCAGATGTACGGACGGACGTACAGACGGACAAGGGTAAAAATTAATGCCCCTCTGCTAAGGCGGGGGCATAATAAAATCAAGCCAAATCATAATCTTAATCGATCTTGAAAGAACTATATTGATTGATTGTTGGTTGCTTAACGTCCAGTGGCAATGAAAGAATTAAAGAAATGTAAAACGTGTGCACACTATTTCATGTGACTGTCGGTAAACAAAATGGCATGTACATCATGACAATAAAAGGAATATACTGGTACACCCATGAAATAACATCATAGACTTCCATTGAAATAATACAATATACATCCATTGAAATAACACCATAGACATGCATCCTTTAAAATACTATCTTAGTTGCCTCAAAAATTATTACAATTCCTTTACAGCAGAAACAATGTGCACTTTTGTGGTAATAAGTATTGTGTATAGGTTTCATGTTTGGTTGGGGCAAACTTAAGTTACAGAACGGAAACTAAAAATTTTGCAATTTTTCGATTTATAAAGGGGCATAACTCAATAATGGTTAAAGTGACACTACCCAAATTCAACTTGATCTGTGTTTTATCAGTGGAAGGCAAAATTAAACATTGCATTGTATAAAGCATTGATTGTAGTTGATTCAACTATAATCATGGACAAAGAAAGATAACTCCAATTTTAATAAATTGCTTCGCCGAGCGCAGCTGGACATGACCGCAGAGGTCCAACCCCAAAAAAAAACCAAAAAAATTTTTAACCCCCCCCCCCCCACCCTTTTTTTTTTGCAAAAAAAAAAATAATATTTGAAATTTCTTTTTAATATTTCTGAAATCTGAAATGAGAAAAAAAATGTTCCCCCTCCCCACAATTTCTTTTTTACCCCCCAAATTTTTTTTCACCTCCCTCCCCCCCCCCCCCCCCTCCCTTTTTCCAAAAAAAAATTCTTTCCCTCAAGATATGGTCATCATCTCAATTCAAATTTCCACTGGAGTTTGCAACCATAATTACACTTTTTAAATACATCATAAAAGTCTTAAAATAGAAAATGACATACATAATCATGTCTAAAATTAATATTCCTTAATCAGCATTTTTAATAGTAACCTCTAAAAATAAATTGACAGCTAATCACCTCAAGACAATACAACATTTCTTTATACATAATTTAAAAGCAGTGTACGGGAGGTAACCAAACACAAAACATTGTACTTAAAAGTAATTGTCCAGTTACAAGGAAACCCTTGTTTTTCACCCTTTTTTGCCCCTAATTCCTAAACGGTTTGAGCTATTACCCCCCAAAGCCAATCCTAACCATCCCTTTGTGGTATGGAAACTTGTGATATAATTTCAGAGAGATCCATACACCTTTCCACAAGTTATTGTCTGGAAACTAGAAAAATGCTTATTTGGGCCCCTTTTTGGACCCTAATTCCTAAACTGTTAGGACTATATCCCCCAAAATCAATCCCAACCCTTTTTTTGTGGTTATAAACCTTGTGTTTAAATTTCATAGATTTCTATTTACTTATACTAAAGTTATTTCCGGAAACCAAATGTCTTCGCTGACGCTGACGAAGACAACGACGTGATACCAATATACGACACTTGATCTGTGTATTGTGGTAATAAGCATTGCGTATAAGTTTCATAACATTTGGTTGAGGCAAACTTAAGTTAGAGAACCGAAACCAATTTTGGGACATGCGTACGTACGAACAGACGGACAAGGGTAAAACTTAATGCCCCCCTCCGCTTCGGCAGAGGCATAAAAAAACAAAATTATATGTCTTCCCATAATATAATTTTTCATTTCTGGGTATAAGAATAGACTTGATTTTTATTAAATTAAATTCACTTTTTAAATAATTAACAACAAAACAATACAAAAAGACAGTGACAAGGCATAAAATATAACAAGTTTACAATAATGTCAGATACAAACCCCAATGGATATTAAAATGAATATTTCAAAATGTTATCATGTGAAATTCTACAATACCTACAAGATAATTGTTTACAATAGATAATTACATTATTGCCTCTGCTGTAATCAGCTGATTCTGTGTTATATTGCACAATCAAATAAATAATATATCAGTCAGGCCCTGTTATTTGGCATTACACATTTTTTGTGACAGATAAAATCTCAAAAGTTTAAACCCTTTGGTCGTCTCCTAAGCAATAAGCCTGATATCTTTGATGTGTCTTCAAAATAAAAGAAAATGACCCACTAATCCCTATATTTCTTAATGCTCTAAACTCAAACATCAATACACATCTAGTAAAAGTTTAACAATCTTGTTATATATAGTATATTTTGAATACAAAGATGGTTATATATATATGTTTTTGTCTAAACCCCAAACAAAGACCTTTTTTTTATTTCCCCCATAATTATGATGTACAATACATTGTCTATCTACAGGGACATCATTTATAAAAATGTTGTTAATTCAATTTTAGTAGCAAACATCCTAAATTTGAAAATTCTACATGATGTACATAATTAACTTTTACCTAAATGTCCAACTGTGATGAATTCAATTCAAGATTTATTTAACCTGAGTATTAATATCATAATTTTAACAGGTTAATAATTAAACTTCTAGTTAAATAGTATGATGGAAGTCAAAGAGGTATACATCCTAAAGTGTCTGAGTCTTGTGATATTGATTATGAATATCTATCCTACACTTAACCATAATTGTTTCTCTTGGGTTCATTTTGTTTGTCTGACGGTTCTGTTTTATATCTTTTAATTCATTGTTATCTAGTATGAAAACATTATATTAAAGCTGACATTGAATATCTTAAATAAAAAACTTTAATCTTTGGAGTCAGTCAAATATCTTTGATGGAAATATTAAATAGACAGTACATCTAATGAAATAAAGATCCTAGGGAGAAATCATGGTAGTAAACTAATTTAATCTAACCCAGACAAAAAAATAATTTTCTTTGAAACACTAATATCAAATACAATGTATATACTCAAGAGAAAACAAATTATCACATTTCTTCTTTATCTACAGATAAATTAAGCACAGAGGTCACACAGAAATTTTGTTTTAGTTTTTGTGAACAAAATAAAAATGAAACAATTAACTTACATTAACAAAATGAAAACAAAACGATTATCTCCCATTTCTAAAACATGATATGGAGTAGTTTAACATTTTCTACCTTTAGCCCTCAAAAAATAAATCTAGGATGCTTTGAATCTGCTTTATAGCTTGTAAAACTATACATTCTATGTAAAGAATACGTTACTTTAATCATACATTTCTTAATTTAAAACAATCTGCAGTTATGTCCCTTAGATCAAAAGTAACACAAGACTATTCAATTTGATTATTAAAATTTCTTAATATCAAAACAATATTTTTATTCTCCTCTGAGGCAAAAATGTGAAACTTTAATATTATGCTTTTCAATTGTAATAAAAAAAACAGGATTTCACTGAACTTAAAATTTCAAAATAAATTAGTGTTGACAACCTTATGCTCCTGGAATTAAAACACCTAAAATTACAATTCCCTTTTTCAAGAGAAACGATAAAATACATTTTATTAATATTATTTTAAACTTACCAGGATATCAATTCATCTAACATTTAAACACTTTCAAACAAAGATCTCATCACATTTAAAGATTCTCACATATAACTTATGTATAAAGTACAATATCTTCTTACAGCTAAATTATTTGAATGGGTACCCAGCATGTTAAATCTTAAGTTGGTTTTTTTTTCAGTGAACCATGATTTTGCATTAACTATTGTAAATATAAAAACAAACTGGTCAAACTGGTTGTAGCATCCTTTTGTTGCACCTTCCATAATTTGAATAACATGTAAAGGCTGTTCCATCAAAACATACATGGGAACCAGGGAAGACACTTCCAAATCTCAACTATGGGTAGGAGTCTTTTTATATTAAAGTGTAATAGAAATTCCAAAATTTCCTATATAGATGGATAGCCCATTTTCAAAGTGCATTCTCTGGGTTTTAACAGAACAGCCAGGATAACAACTGCTAATTTTCCAGGTAGTAAACATCGTTTTTATTGACCAGGTTCATTGAACAAACAAACACACTTAACATCATTGGTCTTTGTACACATTCAAAAAGATCATCTGTAACTATATTTATTATGCAACATTTGTATTAAAGCTTTATGCTTGCTCAAGGCCACTCAACTGGTTGTATAGTAAAATTTTCTGTTGTGGGTTAATAATTGGAATCTATCTATATTTATATCTTCAAGCATATATAATAGATATGATTGTTATGTATCAATTCCTAATTTCAGAAAATACTTCTGTATATAAAATAAGTAATCCCACATATCGAAATTTACTTTAGTAAATTCAGTACATTATAAATGCAATCCAATATATTAAAGTTAACTTTTAATAGTTAAACGTGTAATGAATAAATCAATTAATACAGTAATTACATGTTCAACTAACATCTTTCAAAAATTTAATCCCTACCTATTACCTCATCAATGACAGGGGACCTGTGACACACTGAAATTTAAAGATACAATTGGATAATGGGAAAAAATTTAGATTATACAAGTGAATACAAGTTCCATATAGCAGTAGTATTTTCTAATATAATTTTAAAACTGTGTACATTCATAGATTTCCTATCATACTAATTATTGTGACAATGAAATATTTAAAATAAGAAAATCTCTATTCATCAAAAGCTAGTCATGAATTTATAGCCTTAATAATTTTGCTTTGAAATATTTGTTTGTTAGCAATGTTGTTAACAGTAAATTTTAGAGAAGTGAAGTCATCATAAACTATTCAGGTATTGATATGTTGAACATAGTGGTATTAAATGTAAAATCTAAAAAAACAGTCAAATAAAATATGAATGACTTTAAAACGTATATAATAATGTTACAAAATGTCTCAATACTTTAAAACATATGGTCTAATTCTCAGTGGATTTATCCTTTTCCCCAAGGGGTTAATTACTTTTTTATAATCAAAGTGTGGTTGTCTTGATTTCATATCTTTATTGGTATAAATCAATTATGACATCAAATTGTCTTGCTTTCCTCTGAATTTGGTATTGTGCCCTCATGACGAAAGGTGATCCTGATTGATGACATAGCATAAATAAAAAAAGAACACAATTTTTACAGATCATTAAAAAGAAAGATATAAGAATGTTTGCTTACATCCATTAGAAAAACAAATTATACCACTATAAATGGTGTGATACAATATTTCTTCACTCTTGAATGTAAAATTTTAGATTCTATACTGTGTCATGGAGAATTATCCTATTGAATTTGATAGAGTGGTAGAATCTTTATTCATAATTTTTCCAGAATTTAATTTGGTGATTTAATCATTTTAATAATATACATTTTCAAGTATATTTTTTTTTTCAAGCTTTTGAAAACCACAAAAGTATTATAAAGTACCCCATCAAACTTAAAATTTTATCCAAATGTTCTCAAGGGGGAAATATTGTTTCATCGTCTAAAAATGCAGTAGTCTTGCTGTAGTATGAATATCCTTACAGAGGAAATTAAATAAAAGTGACCTCTTTTAAAGAGTTAGATTCAGAATCCTGTTCTAGCATATAATGCAATTGTCCTTAATAGAAGAGTGGTCTACCTTTGAGAGGGGCTTTCAACGGTTGCAAGTATATAGGATGTGACAAATTTGAAGTCTAATTAACTTAATCATTGGACAAATTAGATTTACAATATTCCTCAAGATTTACATCTATAAGAAATTTTTAGATGTGAAAATAATCAACAAAGCTTTTTAGTTTAACAAGAAAAGCAACTTTTGTAATGCTTTATGTACATGTGATCTTAATACAACAGACATTGCGCTCAAAAATGATTTCACAAAAAGATTAGTATTCCTGACTAGATTTTGGCACAATCAATACAAAGAATTAATAAATGCATAAGTTAAGGGGGACAGCTCTATTCTTACTTCTAAAATAGGACAGTTTTTGAAGATTAGTTTAATTTATCTTTAAATTATCAACAGCTTGTCACAGCTTATCAAAATGAGATTCAAGCTCAGTGATAAAGGGTAAATAATCAGAAAAAATAATATCATTTTTATATTCATTTAATGAAAATACTAAGACTTTTTAATAACAACTTCTAAAAGTAAATTAATGTCAATTTTAAAGCTTTTAATCTTAACTTTTACATAAGTATTGTACAAAAGTGTAAAATAATTAACTTATTAACATATATTATTATTGAACAATATTTCTAATTTAAAGCCATTTACTAAGAAAGAATAAATAAAACTATGCCTACTTAACAGGGTAAACTTCAACAGTTAACTTTTGCTCACATTTGCTAGCATAATGTTTCATTCAAATTTACATCTTTTTCAACGTGAAATTTAAAGCAGTATCACTCTGAATAAACTACTTCTAGCAAAGCCATAGCTATTTAAGAATGTACATTATATACATGCAGCAGTCCAATGCGGTTCTACAATGTAAATTATATAACTGTTTAAATTCACTAAAATTAAAACTATATGACAGTTTCTTTTCAACATTTTCAGACTTATAAATGAATACTAAACATCAAAATATCAATTTTGGCTTGGTGATTAAATTTGTCTGTGAAGTTATTAAAGTAAATACATAAAGTCCAAACTTTCGACAAAAGATATGTATTCTCTTTGAAGACTACAACTGTTGCATGAATCTGTAGTTTCCATTTCTCTATCCCCCCTTAAACCCCTTTCTTTTGGTATCTGCTCCCCCTTTTCAGAAGTAATCCTATTGATAAAAAGGTAGATTTGATGTGACCTTACTTTTTTTGGTAAAATTGATAAATTGCCTTTATAATCACCTTTGTCTGTTGAAAAAATAGTCAGAAGAAAAATGAATGACAAGTTTTTCCGTGTCAAAAAAAAGGACAAGAAATCTGAATGCTGAAAAAAGGTAAAAACTTCTCCCTCACTATATGAAAAACTCAAAAATTGACATTAAGGGTTGGGCCAAACAATTAACAACAATTAGAACATAGTCCAATGCATTCGAGCACAATATCAAAATACCAAGTGTGAGTAAATAATTACTTTCATTCTAAACAATCTATGTTTACATTGAAACAATGCAGAATTGACAATTCTTTGTTTTACTTTGTTTGGCACAACTTCATACGTACCCCTAACATCCGATGTCATTACGAAATAACTAAAATGAACTTAGAAAATCTCAAAATCAACCTTAACAAACAGAAAGCTTCCTTTCAGACTTAAAATCAAAATGAATCCCTTTTTCAGTGGTGACTGATATTTGTAAAACACCTTGTAAGAGAGTAAAACTTTTCATATATAAATATTGTCTCATTACTATAAAGTCCACCTTCAAAATAATTCCATTTTTAACTGCTGTTGGCTGTTGTATAAAATTGCATGTAATATTATAAACTCATTCATTGTTTCATTATATAAAGAAACAATAAATAGTATACACTACTACACCTATGGATAAAAATACATGTAGCACATACACTGATTTACATATGAGACAAGTTTGGTCTTAAACAGGTACTGATGTCTGTTTCCATCACTGATTGACGAAAAACATATACCGGTATTAATATTCACGTAAACATATATATAAATATCAACAAAAAAAAATTTCCTATCATTGTTTTTAAAGTTCAGTATGCAATAGGGTTTTGCGAGTATGAAAATTGCTTATAAATTGTGCAATTTAAAACCTGTGAAAAAATCTGGTATTGCCCTTAACTAAAACTTGGTCTTATTTCGTTGTTATCGATGTAATAAAAATTTATATATACATGGAGGAATAATATCATCAACTGCACAAAACTGTTATGATGTTTTCAATTCCTGATGAGGATGTTTTATTGAGTATTTTTTTATAGAACATACTATAAAATGAAAACAATATTTCATGTTATTATCAAATAATATGGCATCCACAGTAAAATTACATTTAAAACACATTTGACTTTTTTATAAGTTTTATTACAACATTTTTGAAAAAAGATAAGGTATAGTAAAAAAATAATAATTAATATATATAAAAACTTTCCTTACCAATAAATAGGTTGTAAATATTCAGTTTAGCACATTAAAGAGATTATGTAAAGAAGTTACACAAAATAAGTATTCCTATTTAAAGTGGACGACGGTATTAAATAATTAAAATATTATGGTCTTTTCATCAATTGACCTATAGTTATGGTCCCTCTTACTAAATATCCAGGAAAAATTTAATATGATTAGCCAAAATTCACTTTTTATTCCTTAAGACCTACAGATCAATTTAGAAAATAAGTCTGGTAGCAGTGAGCAAAGCTTCTAGCTTTACAAAGAGTACCAGTAACTCAAGCAAGATGGTGAAGTATTGATGTGTTTTGTCCCGCAACTGTCATGTGACTATCATAAATTTACCCATTCTTTCTGTAAGCAACTAATTATCACTTATTATTTTTACTATATCCAATCTTTTCAAGAAAAGTTAAAGTAAAACTTGTAAAAAAGTCAAATGTGTTTTAATTCTACTTTTACTTTGGATGTCATATTCTTTGATAATAACAGGACATTTTCTTTGATAACATGACATATTCTTTGATGATAACATGACATAGTCTTTGATGATAACATAACATAGTCTTTGATGATAACATGATATATTCTTTGATAATGACATGACAAATTCTTTGATGATAACATGCCACATTCTTTGATAACAGCATGACATATTCTTTGATAATTACATGACATATTCTTTGATAAGAACATGACATATTCTTAACACTTTGTACAAGTATCTATGATAAAATACTCAACAAAAACATCACCATCAGAAATTGAAAACATCATAACAATTTCCAGCACATAACTGATAAAATATTATGGTGTATAATGACACATCATAAATTTAATTTATTTTTGGTATATTTTCCTATCAGAATGGAATTAATCAATAGATGTGATTTATTTTCAATTTCCTAATTGAAAGACTCTTTTTTTTCTAAAAATTTAAGCCCTTGCTCGAGGGTATTTGGTAAATTAATCTCAGTGACCAGTCAAAAGAAAGAAGCATGGTGATCTGTGTCATTACTGTCATTTTCAAAGTATACAAAGTAATAGTTTGTCATTTCCTTATGAAGTTAATTTGTCCAGTAATAAGATTAATAGCTGTATGTGTACCCCAAAAAAAATGTAGCCCAACAATGATAACAAAATATCCAAGTAAAATGAGTCTATACATAATGATGTGTTACACTTGACCTTTAGCAAAACTTAAACATAATTCTCTATCCCTCTTGTCTCCCCAGCCACCATTAGGTTTGGGGTCACGTAATTTGAACTTTGATTGTCCTCCCACTGACAGAACATTAGGAAATAAATGCTGTTTATTTGAATGTAACTGAGTTTCTATCTGTTTCTTTTTATTGTCTGGCTGACAATTCTTCCCTTTGTGATGCACACCACTGTAAAAAAAAAGTTAAATAAAACAAAAATAAAACAAAACAATAATAAACCTTGTCAGCGATACTCATTATTTAAAGAATCTGTTATAGATTGAAGATATTTGAATTTCTGTTTAATTTGTTCACAACTTGTTTATACTGGGTGATTAAGTGTCTGTCTTGATGGTGATAGTAAGTTGACCTTTAGATGTCCTTTTGTGATAACCACAACATACCCATACAATAAAATAACCACAAATAATTGTTTTATTTCTATCCAATATGTTCCTTTTAGATCAAATCATATAATCACATAAAATATTTAGCATGATATGGATTTCTTGATTCACTAAAGGATATATGGTGGTCAGTATGGGGTCATTTCTTTTACCCTTTAGTTGTCATACTGAGCTTATTCCATCTTTTCTCTTCATTTGATATTTATTGTTGACTAGAGCTTTTCAAACATGTTTAAACAATAACAATCCGATAAATATATATTGACATAAATTGTTCAGTTATCAAAATAATTTAAAACAAAATAATAACATTTGATCAATAATAAGCCAGTTATAATTACCATTCCCCGATATGAAAGACTCTGGTTGCCTTCATCTTCATAACTTTGACTTTATCTGGGATACACTTCATACTTAAATGTTGTAATGTCCAATCCCAGTTGTAATCGTCAAAGTTACAAAACTCCTGAAAAATAATCAACAATTCAACACCATATATATATATATAAATCTTTTAAACAGAAGTAAAATCAACACTCTGAGTTGTCTGTGATTGTGTAACAGTTAAAGTTACAATCAATCACAATGTCTAAGCTAATAAATTAAAGGGGCATAAGCGACTTAGCTATATTTTTCCATGTAATTTTGAATATTTCATTATACTAAACTATAAATGAAATATTAAAAAATGTTATCATTAGGAATTTCTGCAGTGGACATATTTAGGTAATGACTAAACCATTCATTCAAGGTTTGAGCATTATCCTACAAATTATTTGACGAAGATTCAAATTGTTACTACACCAACTTCATGTCAAACTTAAACCATCAAATTGAGGTCACGATTTCATGTTGAAATATAAACTGGATTGTTTATATTGTAATGTCTTTTAGGGTGACGTTGCCATTCTGATAATATATTTTTAATAAACAAACTTAAAACTGAAACTCAACCAAGAAATCTATTCATGCAACCTCAAAATTTTATTTATGAACACTTAATATAGATATTACAAAATACGGAATTTTTGGACTGCCAATGATTTGAAAGTAAATGCAAGAAAAAAGGGAATTATCAAACATACAAAATTCAGAAAATTGCACGCTGGATAGTTTAAAACCAATCTGTACATTCATTTTACTGTTCAAATCACATTAGTCTGAAGAATTTCAGCTGTTCCTTAGTGTTAAGCACAAAATGAGTCAGTCTTGAAAAGAGGAAAATCCTTTAACTGATGGAATAGTTTAGGAGATGGCTTGAAACCCTTACTATTCCCAAATATTCATGACTGAATCATGATCAAATCATCTCCATCAATATTGTGTCACCTCTAGTGAAGGTCTAACATTAGAAGTGCTCTACATAAAACTGCCTTATACCTACATTGTAACCTGAATAAACTGACAAACATAAAAGACTTTTCCACAAATGGAAACTGTATTTGCCCTGTTGACAGACCGAGGATACACCCTGTATATCCTGCTGACAAATCCAAGTAGGGTATAAATATATCATCTTCTCCTAAAATCTTTTTTATATGTTGAATGACTTACTGAAGTACATTTTTTAATATCCTTCCACAGATCTCTATTAAATGCCATCCCCATATTATGTCTTGATGATATCCAATGCCCCAGTTCAACCTACAAAAGGAATGATATCAATTACATTTCTTTGTAGTCCATTATTTCAAGTTTCATTCTTCTGATTGGAGACAATGTTTTGCTAATTTGGCAGTGTACAATGAATTTTCTTTACATATGGTCCTGTAAAAACAATGTAACTTAAGTAGGGGCAAAATAATACTCTTTACTATTAAAAACGTTCTCTTCATTTTCTGGTCTAAATATCAGATTAAAATCATATATTACTGGACTATTGTCTAGGTAGAATTTCTAACATATCTAACCAGTTAGTATTTGTCATTCTCATTAAATTTTGTGTTTCATCATTTCTTTTGTTCTGTTTGCCAAATATTGTATATGCAGGGTGCCTGAGTTAGTAAATTAAGTTATCATTATTGTGTAATATCTCACAGATTTTTTAAATGAGAAAGCTGGCTTAAACCGTCATGTGTATTGCTCAACTATAAATATATAAATTAGTAAAGCAAAAACTCAAAAATACACACAAGCTGGCAACTGGCTAGTCTTTTTAATGAAAAACAATGAAAAAAATTCATTGAATTACAATATTTAGGCAGTTATTATGAACTCAATATTTCTTGACTTCCTCTAGACGTCTTTTGTGGTCATTTGTGTATGGTGGCGATCTAATTGATGTCTATACCCCAAACATCTTTATTCATATGTATTTGTTTTTAAAATTTTCACGTATGCAATTATAATCCCTTTTTTCCTTTCCTACTTGTATTGAAAGTTTGGGTCTTCTGTTGAGATCTGGGATATTGTGTGTGTGTGTGTTCACCATTTAAATATGTTCATGTAAATCTTACCTTTCCAGAATTTATTGAATAACTTTGTGTTTTGTCGTAGTTTCCTGCAGTAAGCATTCTACAGTCTTTACAATCTCTGAAACAGTAAACAACAATACATAAGCTACAGAGCATAATTAGATATTTGGAGTTGGTCAAAAATTATTAACATATGACGTTTCTTTAAATTTCATTTTTTCTTCAACCCTCAATTGTAAGTAATTCTTTTGAGTGTGTTATGTGATGTTGTTTACATTCATTTAGAAAGCACTATAGTAAAAACTGTCTATCAAAATATAACTTGCCACAAAAAAAGCACCTTAAAAGTTGCCTGTAACCAACTACAGTAAGAGATTCCTAATTATGCAAATCATATATTGTATTAACATACATTGTAGCATATATATATACAAAACACTGGACAGAAAGCAAACAACAAACATTTAATGTTTTACTAAACAAACAACAATATGGCAGAGTAACAATACCATTTTTAGTTCAAAATATACATGTTTACATTGTTAAATTAAAGGCAGGATAAAACAACATGAATAAGGGGACTATCAGAAATGATTAGAACTATATGGAAACATTAGATGTACTGTGTCAGACATTTCTTAATCATTTCAAAGTTATATAATCAGTCTTTTTTCATTGGTAAATGTCATGGCAACCAAAAAGTTTATACATGTATAAACCCATTTCATTATGTTATGGATATGATATTGCCTACAGAGGCTAAATAATTTTGTTAATAAGTGTTAATGAAATATTTTGTGTTGATTTCATTTCATTACTATACATGACAGGACAGTCACTTAATACATAAAGATAAGGAAACACAAATCAGAGAGCACCTTCTCATGTTTATCTAATTGTATTTTTTTTTGTAATAGTTGCATGACCCTCTCACTATCATCAACTATTAACTGATTAAAAGTTTAACCCTAAAATTATTCTACAAGCAAATAAATAGTACCTTACTATGATAAGCACATACCCCAACACTTTATACTGTGGACTCATTTATTTTTGCATTTTCTTGGAAATTTGATTTCGTCCTTTAGCCAAAGTCTCCATCGTGTTTATTGAACATTTGTAATTCATTGAACATTTAAATTCCTGGTTCCGCTTACCAACGAATTTCACAAAATTTGGTATCCAACAAATAATAATGAATCCACAGTAAGCTAGAAGATGTGTAGGAAAGACACAGATCCAAGTGTGAAATATAACTCAAGTCAACCATGAAATGGTAACCCATCTGCTGAGGAACATGACTTTAAGAATTATATAATGGCCAGTGTTTTGTGAAACAGTATTTCGCTAAATATAAGAGATGTAAAGCATGGAAATATCACTAATCTTGCTACAATATTTAATTGATAACCTTTAACAAGGAGTTTTTTCTCAATAAAAAAATTGTAAGGAGTTCTACAGAACCCTGTGTCTCGCCTGCTATTGCTGCTGTCAGAGTTAAAGTGTAATGCTGACTTAAAAAGTGAGTCCATTTATCAGCAATATACAGAATTTAAAACTTTTTCTTTAGATGCTATTTCTTGGTCTTGAAGATTAGCTTCTGTCCATGTCTCATAACAATCCATGAAAGTTTACAAATGTATCATGTCAAAAAAATTCAATCTATCAGAAAAATACCAAAAAAGGAAAAAAAAAGTTTGCTTCAGACATTATCTCTAAATCTTATAAAAGCTGCCAAAGTTTCATAATATTCATAAAATTCTATGCAGGTTTGACAAAGTAATTGATGTGTAACAAACTTTAACACCAGACTGTATCTACTTGTTAACTGTAAAAAAAAACACAGTAACTAAGTCCATTTATCAGTAAAATATGGAAAAATAAAAATAAAAAAATATTTTCAAAATTTTGCTCTGGATACTGGTTTTTGGTCATTATCAAGCTTCTGTCCAAATTTTATAAAATTCCATAAAGGTTTGACAAAGTTATTGTTGACTTAAAAAACTTTAACCACAGACTGAACATAAATGTTGTCATAGCCTTGACGACAATAGTTTATCTGGATAGTATCTTAATTTAGAAGCTCTATAAACATCACCAGAAACTTCAGGATGTGATATCACATTTCTTATAAGATTTCTATAGGTTCAGCTAAACTTACACAAAATCTTTGTATCTTTGAAAGAATTTAGTAAAGGTTTTCAGTAATTCGAGGTATAAAGGAAAACCCTGACTAAATAATTCATCAGTCATATATAGATAATCTTAATGGAAATCTAAAAGTCACGAGAATAGCAAACCACACTGTAAGAAGGGGGCAACAAAAAAAAGATCAAGAAAAGGACAATAATTCCGGTTAATATTAGCTTTGTTCGAAGTCAGTTCCTTGAGGTAAATTTTCCCATTACAATGTATAACTAGACATTTCATTAATACTTCTATTACTGTAATTTCTTAATTTTTTTTGAAATGTAATTTGCAAATATTTACAAGATCATTCTTTTTTCAACTCAAATAAGCTTAAACATTACACAAGGTTTAAATCTCAAAGTGTTAAAAATAGTGATGTTAATATTTTTCCAGGATAATATCATTATTACTTTTATTGCGAAGGAAATAAAACCTTTCCCAAGATTCTGTTGGTTTTAACCTGACCATTTCATATTTTGCAAATTGAACTGTCCCATTGAAAAAATACAATAGCTTTTGTTCTTTGTGGAATTCATTGAATGGGAACTTTAAATTTCTCCTTGAAAAACCAATCATCCATTGATTAATTTGACTACAAAAAAAAAATTAACGGAGAATGTGTCCCCATGGACACAGATGATTCCCCCGCTTGCATACAACATTATAAAGGGACATAACTCAAGAACGATAAAAGTGACGCTACCCAATTTGTACTTGATCTGAGTTTTAAGGTAATAAGTATTGTGTATAGGTTTCATAATGTTTGGTTGGGGCAAACTTAAGTTACAGTACGGAAACTAAACATTTTGCAATTTTTCGATTTATAAAGGGGCATACAACTCGATAATGATTAAAGTGACGCTACCAAAATCCAACTGGATCTTAGTTTTGTGGTAAAGAGCATTGTGTATAAGTTTCATAACATTTGGTTGAGGCAACTTAAGTTAAAGAACGGAAACTAAAAATTTTGCATTTTTTATCATTTATAATGGGGCATAACTCGAGAATGGTTAAAGTGACCCCACCAAAATTCAAACTTGATCTTTATTTTGTGGTAATAAGCATTGTGTATATGTTTCATAAAATTTGGTTGAGGCAAACTTAAGTTAGAGAACATGAACTAAAAATTTATGAAGGGGAATAACTCTAGAACGGTTAGAGTGGCGATATCCAAATTCAATCTTGATCTGTTTTTTGTGGTAATAAGCATTGCGTATAAGTTTCATAACATTTGGTTGAGGTAAACTTAAGTTAGAGAACGGAAACCAAAAATTTTGACATTTTTCCATTTATAAAGGGGAATAACTCTAGAACGGTTAGAGTGATGCTACCAAAATTCAAACTTGATCTGTATTTGGCGGTAAAAAGCATTGTATTTAAGTTTCATAACATTTGGTTGAGGCAAACTTAAGTTAGAGAACAGAAACTAAAAATTTTGCATTTTTTATCATTTATAAAGGGGCATAACTCGAGAATGGTTAGAGTAACCACACCAAAATTCAAACTTGATCTGTGTTTTGTGGTAATAAGCATTGTGAATAAGTTTTATAACATTTCGTTGAGGCAAACTTAAGTTAGAGAACAGAAACTAAAAATTTTGTAATTTTTCCATTTATAAAGGGGCATAATTCTAGAACGGTTAAAGTGACCCTACCAAAATTCAAACTTGATCTGTGTTTTGTGGTAATAAGCATTGTGAATAAGTTTTATAACATTTTCGTTGAGGCAAACTTAAGTTAGAGAACAGAAACTAAACATTTTGTAATTTTTCCATTTATAAAGGGGCATAACTCTAGAACAGTTAAAGTGATGCCACCAAAATTCAAACTTGATCTGTGTTTTGTGGTAATTAGCATTGTGTATAAGTTTCATTACATTTGGTTGAGGCAAACTCAAGTTAGAGAACAGAAGCCAATTTTGGGACGTACGGACGTACGAACGTACAGACAGACAAGGGTAAAACTTAATGACCCCTCAGCTATGGTGGGGGCATAATAAACTCCCAGAGATGAAAACAAATGTACCAATACTGTATTTATTCAATGGGACAGTTCCCTTTGCAACTGATTCTGGGGAAAAGTTTAATTTCCTTCGCAATAAAATAATAAATAATAATATATAGGCTAAAACATTAAATCTGTGTTTTTACCTCAACTTGATAACAACAGTGATGTTAGTTAGAAAAACAAGTGGACAGAAGTCTTATTGTTAGAAATTAAGTGCATAAGAGAAAATCTTACTGAGATTTAATTCTGACCATACTGATATGCCATTAGAGAAATCAGCGTTTTACATGTACATTTATATAACATATCTCTCTTACTGATTCATGAATATTTATTATAAAGGACAGACTGCAACTCTTTTCACCAAAAAAAAATCTAAGGATTAAAATTGACAGTAAGTTATAGGAAATGTTGACGACTTCAGAATATACTTGAGTTTAAGATTTATTGTGAAAATAGCTGCTGAATCTTAATAGGTAAGAAATAAGAAAATAAGGGTTTTGTCAGAATAACACAAATATTAAGCAATAGTATACAAGTCAGAAGATAGTCAAGGAGTTTTAAAGTTATTTTTATAAGACAGCTATAGAAGTGAAAACAATATTGCTGAGAAAATTATTTTTTTTAAATATGAATTTGTACAATCAAATACTCACTTATCTCTGTAACATTAATGGAAAACAATAATTCATTATTTTTATGGAACGTTTGTAGTGTCTAAGAAATGACAATATCACATGTACCACTGTAACCTGTTCAAATATTTCAGTTTAAAAGCAATTATTCTATATGGGTTGGTGACCCACTTATATATAACAGTACTAAGGAGTGTGTTTTAGCATTACACTATATGTTAGTTAACTAAAGATATATCATTCTGTATTTTTTTTTCAAAGTCTTCATCAAAAGAACAAAATATATCAAAAAGCTATTTTGTTTATTTTTTTTTTTTTTTAAGAATTGCAATCTTGTATCATTTATTTCAGGGCTGCCAAGTCTCACGCATTTAGCGTGAGACTCACGCATTTTCATGCTTATTTGGCGGCATTTTCCTTTGATCTATTGTTTTTTCTCTTTGATCTTTACGATTTTGGCCAAATCTCACGCATTTGCATTATTAAAAGTTGGAAGAACTGATATTTGTTATTTTATTGAAGGTGTAGGGATGTGGATTTTATCTTTATCATGAAACTGTTCAGAAAAGAATAGAAAATAGCAAGTTAATGTGACTGTTCCAAGTCAACATGGTGTACAGGCTTGTCAGTAGTTTTCTCACTTTAATCACCAGCCCTGTAGTCAGCACTTCAATGTTGACATGAATTATCATTGATATGGTCATAATTATAAATTTACTGTTTACAAAACTTTTTTAGAAACATTAAGGATTTTTCTATCCCAGGAATAGATTACCTTAGCTTATTTGGCAAAACCTTTCAGAATTTTTGTTCCTCAATGCTCTTCAACTTTGTACTTTATTTTGCTTTTTTTTTAAATTTTTGATTCAAGTGTTACTGATGAGTCTTTTGTAGATGAAACGCGAGTCTGGCCTACAAAATTTTAATCCTGGTATCTAAGATGAATTTATTTAAATTCATAGATTATCTATGGTTTTTAAAACGAGATGGAGTTTATTGGCAACAATCTGATTTAAAAGGCAATAATCTTAAAATGAGATGTAGATGAGAAACGTTTAGAAGTTGAAAGACCCAATAGATAATCTGTTTATTGCTATTTTCCTATGCAAAGTCAATGATGTTGACTTATGAGTAGCTTGAAATGGCAATAAATTTTTGTGTATCAATTTATAGAATTCAAATCTTTAGTTGCTTTTTAAAGTCAGCATCTTTAGAAGTTTTGCTTAATGCTTACTATTTAGAGTGACCTACTGCTTTGGTATAGGCCATTTTGGTGATTTCTTGGTTTTGTTGGATTAAGTTTCCATGTGCTGTAGGATGACTTTCTCACTAATATATACCCTATATCTCTTTTTTCCCATTCAGATTCTACAATATAATCCAGATTTTATTCTTACTTTTTCTTTAAATGATTCATCATCTGTAATATAGTTATAACGTCTGGCGCTACATAATAATCTTCCTCCAACAATAACACCAGACCTGTGTAATTCTTCATCACGGTCAGCTGGTCAAACACGTGGAATAACTGCAAAAATAATTATATCATTGTAAACACATACATATTATCAAGCCTCTATAGATTTCTATTGAGCTATGTTCATATGGAACAACTGAGCATACAAAGTATTATTATGTCTGAAATTAAACTTCTAAGTCATTTGGTATCTGGCGGAGAGTTATCTCATTGGCAATCATACCACATCATCTTATTTTTATACAGATTACTCATTTCAAGTGGTTTGTCAATTACAGGCAGGTAGAAATCTGAATATGTTCTGAATCTATTAATCATCATTCATATTAATATTTCATGTTTTCTGGTACTTTAGTTTGTTTATTTATAAAAAGTATGCCCGTCTTTTTGCATCCTCTCTAAGGCCTATTCTTAACCCTTGCTGTATCCTATCTATAACCAAACCTTAACTCAGTTTGCCATAATCACACTGTTGATATATTAACTACCCTTAACATGCAAAGTGAAATCTAAGTGAAGAATATTGGTATAAGGTCAGGTTAGCATCGAATATCTTGACTTACACATAGAAATTGACAGAGTTGTTTTAGAACTAATTCTTTCCATCTATCTTAAGGCTAAGAATGAGGAATACCTTTGAAAATTTTGAATAGATTCTTTAGGTCTAACAGGACCGACAGAAATTTTACAAGCCCTTGCTGACGTGCCTGTCACCAAGACTCAGACTGTTGAAGATTGCAAGGTAACTTCTAGATATCTATTGACTATTTTATGACATTGAGTTTCTGTCTTACTGACATATATTCCCCATCTCTCTTTATAAATACAAAGTGTTTTTATTATTTCTGTTTCATTGTTAAGATCACAAACTCACACAATCAATAAAATTTTGAGCAATTTAATATAACTGATTGATTTTTTAAAACCTTACATGAAAAGCTGTTATATTACATCTTTTACTGCTTGACTTACGGTACAAGAAGTTTGCATTGATTTAAAAATAACATCTTGAACTATTAAACTGTATAAATGTATCTGTTTTTTTTTTTATCTATTGATATTCTATCAGTATTTGTATGTATAACTGAGATATATCAACTAAAAAATGTCATTAAGTTCATCTCATTTTAAATGAATTTTATAATATCAAATTTGACAGTTGTTAAAAAAAGTGTCCGTCTAGAAAGGCATATGGCCTCTTTCTGGTCTCCCCTCTGCCCCTTATTAGTTTTCTGAAGGAAAATAAATACTTTTAAATGCCAAATAAATCACTTCAATTACTGGAGAAAGCTTTTTATAACCCTCAAATATCATTAATCTAGTGAAAATTAATGTTTTCAACTAATTCAATTTCTGGTATATAGACATGATCAAGTTGAATCTTTTCAGACAAGAAAATGCACTTATTTCCTAGCTAGAACACTGAAACAGATAACTTTGATTATGATATAATATAATTCATAGTCAATATTTGATCAAAATAAAAAGGTATTTTTTTAATCTGATGCTAACAGACATAACAAACATTACAATACCCAAACAAATTAAGATAATTCTGTAGACTTAAACAAGCACACATTTTACTAAGACATAACACCTCTCTTGCAAAAACACTCCAACACTATTCAACCAACTGAACTTCACAACCAATTTCTTCATTAGAATCTCCTTAGATTGCTATTATTCATCTAAATGTTACAAAAAGTCAACAATGTTACAAGTTGAAGAATTCACAGAAAATTCAGGACAGTCCTATTCATATTTAATGATAATTGCTGTGTTTTGAGGTAAAATACGTTACCAAAATCCAAAATTAATATTGACTATAACCATGATAGACAAACCATCTAGAACATATGATGGTTTTTTTTGGCAGTAAAATTGAGAATGGAAATGGGGAATGTGTCAAAGAGACAACAACCCGACCATAGAACAGACAACAGCAGAAGGTCACCAACAGGTCTTCAATGCAGCGAGAAATTCCAGCACCCGGAGGCGTCCTTCAGCTGGCCCCTAAACAAATATATATACTAGTTCAGTGATAATGAACGCCATACTAAACTCCAAATTGTACACAAGAAACTAAAATTAAAAATAATACAAGACTAACAAAGGCTAGAGGCTCCTGACTTGGGACAGGCGCAAAAATGCGGCGGGGTTAAACATGTTTATGAGATCTCAACCCTCCCCCTATACCTCTAGCCAATGTAGAAAAGTAAACGCATAACAATACGCACATTAAAATTCAGTTCAAGAGAAGTCCGAGTCTGATGTCAGAAGATGTAACCAAAGAAAATAAACAAAATGACAATAATACATCAATAACAACAGACTACTAGCAGTTAACTGACATGCCAGCTCCAGACTTCAATTAAACTGATTGAAAGATTATGTCTTCCTCATAAGAATATCAGGCACAATCCTTCCCGTTAGGGGTTTAGTATCATACCATCATAACATATATGAGAAGAACATAACCCGTGTCATGCCAACAACTGGTTTTTAAATAAATGTGTTTAGTGCCGATGCAAAGACCCTATAAGTGAATCAATATTAACGCCAAAATATGCAATCTTTAATGACCTGACAACAGTATCGTAACTATATCCCTTCTTAATAAGTCTATTTAAAGGTTTTGTTATCTTCAGAGGTGAATACTGACATTTTTGTGCTTTATAAAGAATATTTCCATAAAAAATTGGATGTGAAATACCTGAACGTATAAGAAGTCTGCATGTTGAGCTATATTTACGAATGATGTCCTTATACCGATGATAAAATTTAGTAAATGTTTTGACTAGTTTGTGATATCGAATACCCTGGTGTAATAATTTTTCAGTAATACATAAATTTCTCTCGTTAAAATCTAAAACATTGTTACATACATGAGCGAATCGTACAAGTTGAGATATATAAACACCGTAAGATGGTGACAAGGGAACGTCACCATCTAAAAATGGATAATTAACGATAGGAAATGAAAAATCATCTCTTTTATCATATATTTTAGTATTAAGCTTTCCATTAATGATATAGATATCAAGATCGAGGAAAGGGCAGTGGTCATTGTTAGTATTAGCTTTATTTAAAGTAAGTTCAACAGGATAAATTTCTTTAGTATACATACTGAAGTCGTCATTATTGAGAGCCAAAATATCATCCAAATATCTAAAAGTATTATTAAATTTGTGTATGAACTAAGAACTAACTTTCTAGAACCAATGATGTTTTGCTTGGCAGTGTATGAACTATGAACTAATCATGTTTTGCTTGGCAGTGTATGAACTATGTACTTACTTTCAGGAAACCAATGATGTTTTGCTTAGCAGTGTATGAACTATGAACTTACTTTCCAGAACCAATAATGTTTTGCTTGGCAGTGTATGAACTATGAACTTACTTTCCAGACCCAATAATGTTTTGCTTGGCAGTGTATGAACTATGAACTTACTTTCCAGAACCAATGATGTTTTGCTTGGTAGTGTATGAACTATGAATTACTTTACAGAACCAATGATGTTTTGCTTGGCAGTGTATGAACTATGAACTTACTTTCCAGAACCAATGGTGTTTTGTTTGGCAGTATTTGGCTTCTCTGTAATGACCATACTTGTCTGGATGGTTTGCATTGTTACATTTTATTTTTAAAGCTCTAAAATAAAATAGCAAATATCATTACCGTAATAAGCTATAAACTTAAACATTTATATATATATCAATTAACAAACAAGGATAATTCTAACAAACGAACATTGTTCACTCCAAATAATAATCATGGTCTATATAAAAGGCTTCATGTAAACGACAGCATTAACAAGAACTGTTTTAGTACTGTTTTACTTATCATAGTCACAATCCTTTCCACTTTGCCTTCTCTATGACATCACTGAATACAATTTTAAACTGAGCAATAGAACTGGTGCCTCTAGTACTATACTAGTGGAGTAAGAACTGCATTATAAGTAACCCTATCAAGCACCAAAATTCACCCTTAGTTTGTCATGTTTGTGTGAGGTCATGTCTTTCAATCGTTTCTGTTATGAGTTTTGTGGACATTTGGTTTTTTTATTATGCCATGGCGTTATTTGTTTCTTTGACTGGTAGTTTTACTTCCACCCTTGGTATCTTGAACTTCTTTATGGTACAAAATGTTTTTAAAACTGCAGTTGCTCAGGACATTAATAAAACATAATGTATCAAGGGTATTAAGATCTAAAAACGTTTGTTATGCCAAACGCTAATGTTCCACAAATTACATTTTAAATTATATACAAACACTTAATATCTACTTATTAGACATTTGTATAGAACTTTCAGTGTAAATTATATGTAACACACCTACCCAGATGTTAATGTATTAGTTGCTTTGCTTTTCTTAGGTCAATGACTACTAATATTAAAATAAAGCTTCATGTGCACCAAGTAATAAGTTTTCTAAGTGATATCTTACTGATCTTTTTTGACATTACGGGGACAATCATTGGGGTGTTCACCAGGGAACTCTTTGGGATGAAGTTGAGCTGAGACAGGGAAAAAAATCTGCATTACCTGAAAAAAAAAAACTAATTGTTTCATTCCAGTTCACAAACTTAAATGTTACACAAACTGTTGACATAATCATTGTATCATACAAGATAAATATTATACATTGTGGACATTTGTCTGCAACACTATAAGTATTAACTAGTATTAGCCTTAGAAAAACATCTTGACACTTGTACTGAATAAAATATAAACCAGGACCCCTACATACATATATATATATAGCTTCTGGATACAGACATGTATTAATAAGGATATTTTAAACTAAATCCATATATTTACATCTGATAATAATCAACTATATTCCACATCAAGTATTATCCATTAAAATGACAGGATTTCAGTACAAAATCTATGATTTTTATCCGGAAATCTCTGTAAAAGTATAAGATTTCCTGTTGTATTAATTTTCCCTGTTAATTATCATGTCACCTACACAGGCATATAAAAAATCATTTAATGATGGCATTCTCAAACTGCAGTAGTATTACACTTCACATAAACTACATTATAAAATCACTAAATATTAAATCACAATATTAAATCAAACTGTGAAATAATAAAAACCAGCAAATCTGCTGTTTCTGCAGTCATGACAGTAATACAAAAAAAGTCATGAAAATGAAAAAAAAATTCTGATCATGATCTTTTTCATTTTAATATACTGGGTATTTAAGCTAAATTGACCACTGCATACAATTTTTTTCAATATTAAATTAGTGAGAATATAAAGTTAATGACTAAATCTATTATGTATTTCATTTTCTATTGAATACATGTACATGTATGCATAACATACTAGCTACTGGACATAATCCAACCAACAATTAATCACTGTATATCTTTATTTAATTACTAATCTTACTATAGGTTGCACTTTGTAAATAGTAATACAGCTGTTTCACAAGCCACACCTCTTTTGGGGAGATATATAATATTCATAGATATTTTGTTTTGTTTACATATTGTTTCCCAGATATGATCTCTATGTTTCATCTCATAGAGACATAACTTTGGAATGTTACCAGTATAAAAACACATGGTAGTGGCAAAAATTGAATTCTGAGGAAAACCCAAAGTGAAGGTAGGGGTAGTACAGAATTTTAGTATAGGTTTAAACTCTTAGAAGTTCGGGACATATAAATGTTGAAAATTACTGCACAGCCCTATGTTTTATATGAAAATAGTAGTGCATATCAACTTTCCATTCTAGGATATAATTTTTTACGAAACTTCATAGTAAAAGTGACACAGTTTTAGCCGCAAAGGGAGTTCCTATGGGAAATTGCATTGTCTATATTTACACAAGTACAACCTATATTGGGTGAAAAAAGAGAACATATAGAATTTCAACAAATCTGGTTTATCTCAGAGATTTTAATGAAATTAACTCAAATATAAAGTTTTATAAATATTTCATGAAGATTCAGAAGATCCTAGGCCTTAATTATGATGACTCAGCATAAATTCACAGTTTACAGTACATGTAGTATACATAGTTTACTTAAAGCCCTGAATGCAAAATAAATTCATAATATATGCATATTTGTAATTTAAATTGTTTAGAAGTGCTTTATATTTACTCTTCGCAGTCATTGAAACTCATAGATCCTCGATGAATTATTGAATATTGTTGTTGGGATGTTTTTGTCCTGTCTATAACCCAAAAGTAAGCTGTAACACCTGAATGTGCTTTTTTGTGACAGCGGCATAAAAAATACAAGCTAGAAATACAAAAATACCTCAATAAAAATAAATAACTGATAAAAGCTCTATCTTTTCCTTGTTTAAGACTTTAAGAATTAATTCCACAAAATATTAAAAAAAGATTCAATTGAACAAACAATCTTATATATTATTTCTACCTTTTGATAGACTATAAAGAAGATTAAATACATGGTTTATAACTTCCCTATCAGAGCCTTTTTACAGTGAACTAGACTATTTTTCAAGATTTTTTGGGGTATGAAAGGGTATTATACACAAATGCATACTACACACACACAGGAATACGGTAGTATTTTGGATTTCTTATTATTCTAAAACAAAATCCAATAACTTGAAGGAATCATAAGAGAAAGTACCTGAAACAAAAAGGAAAATTTGGACATCTGGGTGCAGTTCAGAACAAAACAATTTGTAATTTACAATGCTCAAGTATCAAAATAACCCAGACTTCTACTAAAAACAATTAAATATTCCATTTACCTACTTTAATCTTACACTGCTGTCAATTATTTCAAATAATTTTGAATTATTAACGAACACTGTAATGACTATCATTTCAATCTAATAATAATACTTGTATCATACATTTTCATTTCCTAATTATTTATTAATTATCAATAATTTTCAAATCCATTTACAATCATTTTATAAACACATGTGCATTGCAATTTGCTTCAGGACATAAACATCATAACCAATGATGCCATTGTACAATGTTGTAACATGCTTATAACTCTCAAGACATGCAAGATCTGATCCCCATAAATCAAATAAAACTTTTCTGGAACACATACAGTTATAAACTGCTTCGCCAAATGCAGCTGGATACGACTGCAGAGGTCCAACCCTGAACAGTTGGGGCAAAAATGGACACAATATTCAAGCTTGATACAGGTCTGAATTTGGATTGTAATTATTGCGAACCCAATGAAAGTTTTCCACAGTGCCATCTCTATCTTGACCAGGTATTTAAACTTTTGCAAGTTCACCTGTCCTATTGAATGAATACAATAGCTATTTTTCTCTGTGTAGTTTATTCACTGGGACCTTTAAATTTCTTCTAAGAGAAATCTATCATTCATTGATTAAATTACCTGTGTAAAAAAAAATTCTTATATATAGACAAAAATACTTTTTTTATACTCATTAATTGCGTGTGCTGATGTATTTATTCAATATTTATAATATATTTTCATTCAGTTTAATATTAAAATTGATTCAATCATAAAAAGTTGATTTCTAACAAAAGTTTTATCAATGTTCCTATTGAAATTTGATTTTTTTTTGTTTAGTTATAGAATACATTTAAGAAGATCTTAATTTGAAACATCATTATTTTCAAGTTCTTATTCATGTCAAACAAATTTTTTTTTAAAAGGAACAATGTTGAAAGTTTTGTCAGAAATCAAATTTTTATGATTGAATCAATGTTTATATTAAACTGAATGAAAATATATTAATAATATTGAATAACTACATCATCACACGCAGTTAATGAGTATAAAAACAGTATTTTTGTCTATATATAAGAAATTTTTTTTACTCAGGTAATTTAATCAATGAATGATAGATTTCTCTTAGAAGAAATTTAAAGGTCCCAGAGAATAAACTACACAGAGAACAATAGCTATTGTATCTATTCAATAGGACAGGTGAACTTGCAAAAGTTTAAATACCTGGTCAAGATAGAGATGGCACTGTGGAAAACTTTCATTGGGTTCGCAATAAATATTTGACACATTATACATGTAGGTGTAAGACACAGAATAAATGTAGTCAAAGAACTTGAAATTGGTCATATGATTTGAATTTATATTCAATTGAAGATTTCTTGCTGTTGTGCAATACACTGTGCTGTTGCGCAATAATTGGTAAATCTGTTTTCAGACTATATACAAAGAATTAGCAAAATAAATTGTGACCCCCAATTTTTCTTTGGAAAATTGACAATTTCTTAAATCTTGAGGGAAAAAAAATGATATTTGAAGAAAATTTCTTTTTAATTTCTTAAATCTTAAGGAAAAAAATTGCCCTACCCCAAAAAAATTTTTTTTAACCCCCCTCCACCCCCCTTTCAAAAAAAAGTAACTTTTGAAGAAATTTTCTTTTTGTAAAATGTGGTAATATTTAAGAGAAATCCATATGGTTAACCACAAGTAATTGTCTTAAAACTAGAAAAATGCTTGTTTTAGACCCTTTTTGACCCCTAATTCCTGAACGGTTTGGGCAATTACCCCCAAAATGAATCCTAACCTTCTACTTATGGTATTGAACCTTGTGGTACAATTTCAGAGCAATCAAAATACTTATACACAAGTTATTGTCCTGAAACTAGAAAAATGCTGACGATGACATGATAGCAATATATGACCCCAAATTTTTTTTGTGGTCGTATAAAAACATTGGACCAAGTTTCCTTATAATGTACATCTTAACCTTATTGATGAGTCCAAACAGATTTTCCTGTGAGTCCAGGACTGGCCTCAGTGAGAACCCCGTAAAAATACAAGTTGTGTGCAGCACATTCACTTGTCTTTTGTTGAAGACTGTAAGTTTATCTCAACTTGCTCAAGATGTCTTTTGGTTGTTGTTTTTTGTGTTGGGGCTTAGCTGTCTTATTTGGAAATACCCTTTATCTCCTTTTACTTATAAAACCTCTACTGGTATTTTGAAGCAAAGCAGAACGTAATTATATCTAAGGATGTACTTTGGACAAATTTAAGTCAATTGGAACAAATCCATATAAAATACAACTTGTATCTTTTTTTTACACTATTATATACATGAACATGTACTCAGTATATACATGATATATATAATAGTGTAATAAGAAAATATAAGTCATATTTCCTATAATTATACCTGTAATTTAACATGTTTAATATATCAAACATATTCGATTACAATACCAGTAAATAATTTCTAAACAATATGAATTGGATTAAAAATTAGTCACTTGCTATTGATTACATTTATCTTACAGATTGATAATGTTGGTGAGTCAATTATTTGTAGAAAACACTGTAGAAGACAATATGACTACACCATCAGGAAACAATTGTATTCAAAACAGGGTAATCAATAGTGATTCTTCAAGATGAGTAACCCCAAAGGTTACTTGGGTTTGAAATATGGTCACTTTGGTCTTCTTCAGATGACAATTTATTAAACCTTTGCTAATGTGGGGATCTGTTTGGTTGTGCTGAATTTATATTTTTGCAGCCAGGCCCAGTCAGAATGGGCTGTTAAATCTGATGCCATAGCCTCAGTTAAACAAT